TCTTAATTTCTATATTTTGTGTTTTTTAAATATGCTATAATTTATTCTGGAAAAATCGAATATTTTCTAATTTTGTTAAATTATTCTATATTAAAATAAATTACGAGGAATAAGAGAACTTTTATATTATATATACTATTTCGGAAATTTATTTAATACAAATTTCGCATTTTTCTTAATATTGATGATAGATTTCTTGGGGTGATAAAATTTATATTGAAATAATTTAAGAAAATATCGTATTTATACTAATTTTAAGAAAGAGGAGTAGATTGGAAACATGTATTTATTAAAAATAAAGCAATATTTCTTCTATTTATATTTTTTTAGACGAGGTGTAATTTTGTCCTGCCTCGTGGCTCTCTTATATGGTTAATTATAAGGCTCCCTCATTGATTTCCTCCAATTAATATATACAACTTATCGAAAGTAATAATGAATTCGCGCTTTATTAGCTCAACTTTATCTTGGATGCCCTGCAGAAGTCATAACATTCATTCATTCAACATTATATAAACTATAGAAATCACAATCAATAATTAATTAATATTTCAACCAATATTCTAATAAATATTGCGAAAATATTGACAAGCTTTATATTTTGCTTTGTTATCTATCTAATATATTTTATCTGTCTTTTGTCTTCGTGCCTCATTTTGCGGATATCTTTTAGGTCTCTTCCATACCTTCTTCGTGCTTATCTTATATTTTTATTTTGTAGGAAGCTTCAAATATATAAAAAAACAAGCAAAAATATTTTCGAATACTAATTAGAAATTAACTACAAACGAAAATTGTTATATAGCCTATCAATAATCTCCGAAAATTTTATATCATCATCTTAATATCAATACTTGCGCAAATATATCTCTTCAAGAAATAATAAATCATACAAATACCTCACATATTCCATATTACAACCTTTCAAAAATATCCCTATTCGAATCGGAAACTTAAAAAAATCTTAATCTATTTATATATATTAATTCGCGCGCTCACCCAATCAACAATTCCATACCTTACAAAATTTATACCATCAAAATAATCATAATTTCTCAAGAAAAAGACGTACAATAAAACTATAATATTAACGAAATAAAATTTCTTCTATTCAGAAAAATATATAATATTATATTTTAATATTAATAATAATAACATACAATTCATCAATTTAATATTCATATCTCGTAAACTCAATCAAATATCCATAATACGAAAGAAAATCAATCTTTCATTTAGTAAATTAAATTAATCATTAAACCATATTATCTTTAGTCTATATAAATATTCAAAATCAATCAAAAATAATATAATTTAAAATAGTAAAATTTAATATTTAGATTCATGTATATATATGTATATATATATCTTCGACACCCCCATATACTCATACCGCGACACTCTCTACGACGCACGCGCCTCCAATTTTCCGCCATTCCACGACATTCCCCTCGACGCACCCTCGCCCACACTCCCTCGCGACACTCCTTTCAAACTCGCTCTCACCCATCACTCCACGACATTCCCAACGACACATGCGCCCTTCCCACCATTCCGCGACTCCCCTCGTCCTGCCCTCGCCCGCACTCCCGACGACACACAGGCCCTCGCCAGTCACTCCGCGACAACTCCCGATACACATGCCCTCGCCCACCACTCTGCGACACTCCCTACAACACATACACGCTCGCCCACTCCGTGACACTCCATGGCAATCGCCTCGACAACACCTCGCCACACAGGCCCACCTGTGACTCCGCCACACTCACTTCGACTCGCCCTCGCCCGCAGCTCCCCACGACACACACGCCCCTGCCTGCCACTCTGCGACACTCGCCTGGAACCGCGCTTGCCCGCCATTCCACGACACTCCTAAATGATTATCATTTTCTACCAAACTTCATTCATTATGGCAAGTCGGTCCGTAAAATATAAGATATTTGTGTCAAATCAGCATTTTGTAAATATAGCAACAACAAATCATTTACAACAGATTTCTCGAAACACAATTTCAAATACAGAACTTTCCAAATCTGCTTAACTATGTTATACAACAAAAATTACAACTTTCAATAGTTCTTTGTCACGAAATTCAATTCTAACTCACCATGTACATCTTATTCATTTGCTACAAACCTCAATCCGGCCGAAAAGATCGAAAAACACTGTAAAGACTCTCATGTTCTCTCCTCTCCATCGCTACCACAACGACAAGTCCCTTCATAAATCCCTCTCCTTATTATATTAGATTCACTAGCCACGATGGTCAAATTTCAGATCACCATAGATCACCCATCTGAGATCGATTATCCGTAACTACTCCGACCCAAAATTTCTGTCTCACCTCTCGCCAACCCGTTCGACCGTACCTAACTCGAGTTTTGAAAGAAGAAAACCATCCCCACCAACAGCAAAACCTCCTACCATATAATTACGAAATAAAGGTATAAGAATACACAGCATGAAATCAACCTAGAAGGAACAACTAAGAACCAATATAATATTCCAGTTGATCATCCGGGCCAGAGACCCCAATATCTGAGTATACGCCAGTGTAGAATCCGAAACATTGATGGAGCGCCACGACGACCATAAAACCAAGACCACCACATGCCATCACTTGCCCTTTAAAGCATGCACACCAGATTTCTGGCTGAAGTTACGTCTACAGCAAGCCGGGCACGGTTCCATGCTTGGTAGACTAGAACAAGGCCATCTTTTGATAGTTCCAAGTTTTCTGGATACTGTACCGTGGCTTCGTCGCCTTGGCGCTATCTCATCCGAATCGAAAGGTATTGACACATGCCCGGCTGCACGTGCTGAGGGTGAGAACAGATGCACTGGTATAAGCAAGAAATACTGAGATGGGCTGTCGACGGTCTTGGCAACTTTGATTGGCAACTTGAAATTCTTGGCTTGACGAATTGAAGGATGTTGAGAGACTTAACGGTCATGCTGGCGGAGGCGGGGGCGGCGGTGGTGCCGGTGCGCTCTCAGACTCGGAGGCCTGAAACCTCCGCAGATTCCCAAAGTGAAAAATCAAGACGGAAGCAGTTAGATCACGTCGCAGCACCCTTTGAACGTCAAGATAAGCCGAGAGCAGAGACTTGTAGTAGCCGATCTGCTGCGTTGGGTCAGACCTAAGGGTCGGACATCGCTCAGGCACTGACTCCGAGAAATGCCGTGCCTCTCTGAAGCGGTGCTACTGCTAAAGCTGCTTGGGACTTTGGTAGGCGATGTTTGTCTTGCGGCCAGCCAGATGCGCAAGTCTGAGCCGCTGGCACCAGCACAAGTTCTTCCTCACTTTGACAACTATGCGGTGAAGGAGCAACTTTTTCACGCTTATCATCGAAACTCACATACGATTAACCACCTCAAGAGGAATACTTCTCAGGCAGGCGGCAGGCTTCACGACAGCATCACACATCGGACACTGCTCGTTCGCCTGGTGGAGATGAGCTCTATGTTCTGCTTTTGCTTTGGCTGCAACTGCAAACTGTCAACAGCTTTGTGCGCCGGATTGTCGCTTTGGACTTCAGGGCTCGTGACTGCTGTATTCCTGCCTGCAGCATTGCAGAGAAGACTGAATACCTGGCTGTCGCAGCAGCTGTGTCGAAAGCAATGCAACACCATCACAAAGAATCACCTTTATCTCGGCAAGTGGACGGCTTTCAGGCTATGAAGCCAATTCATGTTTTTGCAGGCTGTCCGGCCCGCCTGGCAGGAAAATTGCATGCCGGGCAATTTGACCTCAGAGCTTTCCCATGTGGAATTGGTAGTGACTTTTTCAAGAGCTCGCTGCGCTCTCTTGGGTGATCTTGGCAGGCCCGGCCCGGGGCCCTGGCCAGTCCTCTTTCAGCATGCGCATGCCGCTAGCGATGCAAAAGGGAGAGATGTTCTTGCAGTTTAAGCCTTGGCTCAGATGGCTCTGCAATCCCTTGAAGGTACAACGATTGAAGTCGTCGGAAGAACTTCGACAAGGAACAATCGAGCTGTGACTCCGCAAAGTTGAAGCCGCAGTACATGCAGGGCAGGCTCGCCTCGCGATGGCGGAGCAGTGCAATGGCCCGAAAAACTGCTGATTCTAAGCTCTTCTGCGATCCGCAAGGGTAAACCAGCAGACATAAGCTGAACTTGACCTTCAGCCGTCGCTGCACGGGGCAGCAGCCCACACCCTGACACACCTGGGGATTTGCGAGCCTCGAGTGCGTCTCTTTGATCAACCTCGGGAGGTGGCTTTCGGACAATGTTCTCGATCTTCTTCTTGTACCTGCATCTGGCCAAGAGATGCAAGAGGTGGGGATTGTGACGACACAAAGCGAAACGCAAGACACTCCAGCTGTGTTGCAATGCGACAGTATTCCATCTGCAATCGCTCGTACTGCTTTGCTGTCCAAGGCCCTGGCTGCTCGGAGACATCTTTCCGGTATTCAGGCTTCATCAGGGTGCAGGCGTACTGGTAGGACTGCCATGGCATTGTAATGATGCACATCTCAGGGAGACGATGCAGACCCCACTCGCAGCCTTATGCTTAGGTTAAGGTCTCCTTCGACTGCACCTCAACTTCGATGTTCATCGAGTTGTCACCGAAGCCCAGGCCAACAAAGGTTTGAGGGACAACGCCACCCACACTCCGATCTTCAATCCATTATGTACACACTCGTTATCGGAGGTTCCTAACCGCTTGTTTTCATGTAGCGCCTCGCCAGGCATCTTCGCACGCTGGCATTCGATCACCACGGAAGTCAGGATTGGCACGATGTGCGCTGGGAACCTAAGGAGGCTACAGCAAACTGCGGCATAAGACCAGCGGGAGCGTGCCTGGCTGCACGGCGGTAAAGCCGGGCTGTGCTCACATTGACAGCCATGGCTTTGTGAATCCAGAGATGCCCGGGGCCACTGCTGCTGAATGTTCTTCGCAACACGCACCAACCTTACAAATCAGCTCACTTCACACAACAAACAACTCAGTCGGCCAGTCGACTTACTCTTGAGAGGTAGGAGACAGGTGATGCACACCTGTCAAAATGTCCCAGCTGCGCCTGTACAGATTGAAGGCACGTCACCTGCATACTATTTACAAATTCATATATACTACAAATCTAACAGGCAGGGCACAGCTGATATTGCACCAGCATGTGCAGGCAGCCACCAGTCTCTGAATCAAAGCACACACACGTGGCAATGAATTAGCCACATCTATTTCCACAAGACACCCTTGCGCGATGGATTCACCGGCTGCTACGATTGCGCAACTCCTGCAAGTCGCATGCTACCTGTGGCATCCGTGGTTTATGTGGAAGCTGTTGTGTCCTCTGCCGGCTTGTGGCCGTACTGTGCGAGCAACTCAAGACTGTCAGCGGCGTTCAAGAACTGCGCCCAGCCCACTGGTGTTCCACCGTGTGCAGCATCTTTGATTGTAGCGAGCGCTCCCCTCTCTAACAGAAGGCGTAGGCACCTCAGGCTGCTGTATTGGGCCGCGAGGTGCATTGCCACGGCTCCCTTTCCATGCTCGGCTCCACCAAAGTCATGCCGAAGATTAGGGTCAGCCCCATTGTTTAAAAGCCATTCTGCAGCCTCGTAGCTATCACCGTAAATTGCCCACAGTAGCGGCGTCCCACGGAAAGCATTGCTGTTGACATTCGCCCCAGCCTTGCAAAGCTGCACCATGGATTCCACCTGATTGTTCCTGGCTGCCCATGACAAGGCTTCATCGAGCACAGACTGCTCAACAGCCTTGTCAACCTCTACAGGTTCGGAACCATGCTGTTTAGCTATCCACTCCAAGCGGGCTGGCCACTCAGGAAAAGCTGGAATGGGACGATAAAACCCCAAGCCCTGGAGGGCTTGCTTGGAGAGCCCCTTCTCAGTGAGAAAGCTGTCCAAGGGCTGACCCAAGGCTGCTGCAGTCCTGAGGTTGGCTGCTGCACCGGAATTCTGGACCAAAAGCTCAACAACTTCTGGGCAAACCTTTGCCTTCGCGTAGAAGAGAGCCAAGGCCAAAGGGCTGCCCGAGTTGTCGGCCCGGCCATCAAGCAGCGTCCCTACCGCGCTGTTGGCGCGGGCCTCCAGAAGTGATCGGACCAAGCTCACATGGTCCCCCATTACAGCCACATGAAGTGGTGCCATGCCGGTCGTGGTGGCTCTTGCAGGATCCGCGCCGGCTTTGAGCACGGCGGTCACTGCATTCAGTTGCTCCGGTGTGCCGTGGCGGCTCGGAATGGCACCATCCTCCGTGCATGCTGCGCAGAGAAGGTACAGCAGGGTCTTGCCGTCCTCATTGCTCTGGTCCAAGACCTCTCTTTCCTGGATGCAAGCTTTCAAGTCTGTGCAGCATCACGACTCTTGCAATCAAGCGCAAACCTGATCTCCTAGCACGAAACTTTTGCTCAGCAATGTCCTCGGTCAGAAGATGCGCTAATCCGTCTGCGTTGCCTTGGACACCTAGCTGAACGGCCTTCTCGAAAACATCAGTCTTGGCGGCCATGCTGTGGGACCCAAAGTTGCGCTAGCCGGGTGTTGACAAAAATGCCTGCATGTACACCTACGTGCCGGACCCTACTTGTCCGACAACTTCAAGTTGTGGCTCCTTGCAGGACGAGGTCGCCTCCTATGTGCGAACGATTCTCAAATACTTTGCTTTAATGACCAATCACAGCACGCACACACATGCTCACACACGTCATTGTCTTAGCTACCGAGGTCAAGCAGGTCCATAGAAGCACTTAATAGCACTTAGGCGCCAGCACCACAAGCCACTTCTGCTTCACCACTTCCGTTGCAGTCGGACATTCGTCAACGTAACTCTTTTTCTCCGTCATTTTCGGGGGCTGTTTCTGAGGCCCGACAAGCAGCCCCCAAACCGAACCACAGGCTCTCCATGTCGTGGAGTTCTACCGAACTGAGGCGCGTGCATGATAGCGGCGCTGTGGTGATCCGCGGCCTGCTTGAAGCATGGAAGTTGTACAGCCCTGAACATGTGCACTGCAGATGTTGGTAGCCGTACCCAGGAATCTGTGGGTGGCGGGTTGGACACCCCACTGTTGACAGTAGATGTTGTGATGCCACGAACTGCTTGAAACACAGGCTCCAGACCTTGACCAACCGCTTCACCTGAGAGCATCTGTCTTCAGCTGGTGACTGAGACTCGGGGAGATGGTTTGATTTGATGTGCATTGCAAACTATCCTGCACCAAGCCACGATGACGTACGAGTGGAGGAGCATGAGCCTGCGCCACCTTAGGAGAAGAATCAGCTTGCAAATGGGGCATGCATGCAAAACTAAGTGGCTCCCGAACGGGAGTGATCCTGAGTTTCGTGACCAAGACCCGCAACTAGAGTTCATAAGGCTGGCGCTGCACCAGATGGGAAAAGTGTCGAGACTAGGTGCAGAAAACAAGCGCCTAAGACTTTGAAGATCGCACTGTGTCTTTTCATTCCAGCCAATCCCTCTAAAACCCGTGCACCAGCATAGACGGTCACTCGAAACCTCAGATCGGCGCAGTTCCTGGGGCAGTGCAAGCTTCTGGCTCTTGAGGTCCTCGAACGGAGCACTGCATTGCAGTTGTAACAAGTGTAACATCTGACCGAAGACGCGCGGCAATAGCTGACAGAAAGCGCCAACTTCTGCCTGCTGCAGCCCACTACTGCACCAAATGAGATACCATGCATCATGTAAGGCAATGCAAGACAGCGAGATTGGTTCCATCAGGAACAGACCTAACTTGTGGAGTGAATGCGATGTGCAAAGCTGCATCAGCGCGCTGACCTGGTAGGTGCGGAAAAGGAGCTGGTGAGCCTGCGCAGAAACTGCAGTGTCTCAGTATTCAATCATGCAAGCTTCAAGCAACTTTGCCATGTCAGCAGGTTGCTTTCGCGGTCACGGATCACAGGGCTGTTAAAAATTTCTCTCCCTCTCGCTCCCTCCTTCCTCCGAAATGGCCTGCTTGTAATTGCCCATCTCTTGCTCTTGCTTGGCAATTATGTGGGCCGTGCCGGCAGCCTCCGCAAACAGTGTAACATAAGGTAAGTGATTAACAATGCGAAGCAACCGAAAGCGAACGTATTCTTGCAGCATCCTTCAGCTGTGGATGCATGCGACGTGGAATCAAACAAAACAGGTTCAACTGCGAGCCTGCATGTAGTTTCCGAGAGCCTTGTGCAGTCTGTACACATAGTTGGCATCCTGCGCAGGTAGATATGCTGAGTGAGCTTGGACGCATGAAACTGCCAAGCTGAACACTGCCTCATTCCGAACCGCGGTTGATGAACAAGGCTGGCATTGCATGTCTGATTGCACCCTAGAAGGGACATTCATCTCGCCCACGCATGTGCGATGCACGCTGCTGCCGGCTCCTTTGGCACATTGTCTGTCTCGCCCATGAGATAGTCAATCAGCGTGTGAGTCAAGGAATCATTCCTCGCCTTGCCAACCACCTGCGTGACAGTCACATCTGTCTTGCCGGGTGGCAGGATATTCGATCTTGTGCCAAACTTGTGCAGTTTACTGAAAGCCAAATTTTCTGGATCTACTCAACGAGGCGCCTCAATGGCGTGGTCAATCTCCTTCTCTCCAACCTGCGAGGCTTTGCGGCCGATCAAGCCTTAATGACTCTAGCTAGCTTTCAGACAATTTCTATGAGTGGCCTTCAAGTATAACCGCAGAGCGGTCGGGTACTCCTCGCAAAGCGCGTAGTGCCTGGCATCAACAACTTGATCGCTTCAGTGCAAGCCGAGTCTTGCAACCTCTGATGCAAGATAAGCAACTTCTGTGGAAAGAGTGTCAGTACCATTTGCAGACCATCGTGTGCACGAAATGTTTCTTCTACAGCACGACGCAGTGGACCCTCCCGCATCACCGCCTCCAAGATTCGTCATGAAGACTTGCCCCACCCGCTTCCAGCCCTTCCCACTGTGGTAAATACCGACTCTGCGGCTGGCCAAACCTTCACACAAGGCATGGGCCACAGCTATGGGTGTTCATCATACACGCACATCAGACTGCCGTTGGACTACCAGGACTACTACATAGTAGCAAAGATGTGTAGACGAATCCACATTATGATTGCAGATTGATCGACTCATAACAGGAATGCATCCATCATGCGAACTATTGTCTCGGCTCCTGCTGCAACGTTTTACAGCACAGCAGTGCCACTGGACTTTTGGATTTGACGGGGTGTATGCCCAGACAAGATATTGGACGTCGCTTTGGCATTTGGTGTATTCGGATTCAGCAGTCGCTGTCCAACTTGCCGGGCTGTCTTGGCAGCATTGGCCAAAAGGTTGCGCTGCTCCTGAACTCAACGAGTCTATATTTGGTGAGGAGGCTGGCGCTAGCAATCTGGTGAATGCTCAAGGGCAGAGAACATCAACACCATCAACCAGCCAGCTCTAAAAATTGTCCAAGTGTCGTAGTACTTCGCGATTGCACGGTGCTGCTGTTGCCTCGCAGATGTCACAAAAAACATGCAGTTTAGCAGGCAGTTAGTCTGCTCTCAAAGCCGCAGGCAGGCAAAATCGTGGTATCATTGTCCAAGTTCTTCTGAAGTATTGCACGTGCCGCGCAGACACCTCCCGTACTTACTGTACACCACTAAACCCTCCTGGACCTGAGTCCTAAACCCAACCCTGCTCCCTAAACACCAAAGCATGCTTGTGTCTGGGCTCCACGGGGCTCTTCAAGGACCGCACGTGCCATGATCGCCGAGGCCGGCTTCGAAGGTCGCCATCTCATCCTGTAAAGCTGCATTTAACCACCCACATTGATGATCTTGCAGTCTCGATTTGGGAAAGGCAAGTCAGTCAGTTCTTGAAACAGCGAACGTCGGCGATCCAGCCAGGAATACACACCTCAACAAACGAACGCAAACAACAAGCCTGGCCGTGGTCTTCACAGCCGCTCGGCATCACCGCGTCCACACGCCGCATTCTTCGAATTCACGCGCTTCCGGGCCACGCTGTGGGGCATATGTTTTGGGGCACTTTGAACAGCCATGTATGCATTCATCATTCGCCCCACGTTTGCTCGTTTCCTGTCGTGTCCGGTAGGCCCCTTGGCCATCTCGGCATAGGCCTTCCGAAAGCCTGCGATGTGCTACTAAGCCCTGCCCGTCTTGTTCTGGTGCTCATTCTGGGTTGGCAGTTCCAGGACAGGTTGAACCATGCAGACACATGCAGACATTACAGCTAATGTCGCCCCCAAGGGGCAACACCCTGCAAAGCTGGTGGCCTGCCGCTCTGCCAGAAGGAAGGCCTCCACAAGTGTCAATGCCGCGCCATGCAAACACCTCCCGACTTTGAGGCGGTACAGTCTCCAGAGAGCGCCTCATCTGTGTTTTTGGCCAGGAGCAGAAACTCCACTGCACCAGAGATGTTGCCTCGATCATCTTCAGAGTCTCACATGCTTTGTGCAGGTTCTCGCGAACGGTGCAGCCGCGGTATAGCTTCGTGGATGTTGCTGGACGCATGCCGTGTTGACGAAGCTGGGATCTTCGACCATTCTTTCTGCAATACTCCGCCACCTCAGCACATCTGCACGTCTGCACACCATGCAGCCAGTACTGCCAGTAGCTTTAGAGGGGGCTTCTTGAATCCTTGGCCTCCAGGAAGCTGAGGCCCTGACGCGCTCGGCCCCTGTAGCCAGCTTCGTCTCGCGTACAAGCTGGAAAGCCTGCAAAAGAAGCCGAGCTGTCTCCATGCCAACTCCGACATTCCTGTCGGTTTTGATCAATTTCAGAGAGCTTCTGTGAACGCCAGTCTGAGTCTGGCTCTTCGTTCTAGACGCGACGTGGCGAACCTCTGGACCCGCTTAAAGCTGCCAGGTACTGTAATTCTCTTTGCTTCCCTCGGCTGAAGAGAAGCAGCCGTGACTGGAAGGATGCAGCCTCGTTTTCTCCGCGCTCCGACTTCGCCTGCTCGAGAGCTCGCGAGAGCTCGCGAGAGCTCGAAGAGTGGTCCTCCCTCAGACTGCAGCTGAATGCCATCTGTCGGCAGTCCCGGAGTCAGGGGCCTGCTTTGTCCAGCCACGGTGCATTCTTAGAGCCAGTTCGAGTCAGGTGACATCTTGTGTGTCTCACCCGTCACACGTACTCTGGGTAGAGAGTTGTTACCTCGGAGGGACTGCGGAACTCAGCCGCATCGCACAAAGCCACCGCTTGCGCAGTCTTTTTTCAGTTTCTGCAGCGACGATTCGGCTTCTTCTGGGCCCCAGGCATTCCTCTCAGCGAGCCACCTTTTTACCTCGTCCAGTTTTTGCCTTGGAGCAGCAGCGTCGCAGTCAAAGGCCCCCGTAGTCAAAATACGAACTCAGCAACATGTCCGCTGAGGTCGCAAACTGGCTGGCAGCAGAAGGGCGGGCTTTCAATGCTTTCTGAAAGCACCTGGCATGTTTCAAGGTGGAAGACACCTGGCTTGGCCGCATGAGACGCTGTTTTTGTGCTGACCTGCCGGCATCCTTCATAATCTCGTTGTTGTCTTCGGGCATCATCCACATGGCCTCTGACCGTTCTGACATGCATGAAGACCACTGCCATGATCTCTTGCCGCCAGAGCCTCTAGCCGCGCACACCTGGCAGGTCTGAAGCACATCTGCTGGCAGCTTCCCAAGACCCATCGTTACGTGACAGGAGCCTTGCGGCGGGCCAGGTCCAAGAACGTCTCAAACATGGAGGCTCGGCTGGGCTGTCAGCATTCTTGCCAGCCCGAGTCGGAACAGACTTTTGTCGTCACACCAAACCTCTGCAGTGATGTCGGAACAAGATTCCAGCATCCGAACAGCCAGCTATCCTGCGACAAGTACCCGGAAAAACGAGCCAAAGCCCAGTGTCATACAATGGGATTTAACCTGGGGTCCTTGCTAGGCAAGCCTTCTCTGCGCTGTCTTCAGCCTGGTAGAGTCATGCTGCTACGGGTTTTGCAATGTGATACTGCACGTCATTTGATGGCTCACTTCTAGCTTCTCTCCAGGCACCTGCTTCAAGGCCTGCTTCTTGAAGTACTCGAAGTGCTCTTGCTCCTGCAGGAGATGCTTAAGGTGATTCCATGCACACGATCACAATCTTCACGCATTTTGGTCAATGGCGCGGGCCCAATGTCCTCGAACTGCGACACGAACGGAGTTCCATCGGGAAGGACCCCTTTCCCCTGGCAGTTGCAGGCGAAGGTTCTGTCTGATCATGTCGGAGAACTCAATTACACCTTCGTCCATATCGGTCCGACCCATCTGCTTGACGGCTAGGGGTTGGAACTCGCAATGCATTTGCTCAGCCACGCAACTCCGCTTCTAGCCTGTGCCATGTCAAGGATGCACTGGGCTCGATTGGAGAAGCAGTCTGCCAAAAGCTGCTCCTCAAGAAAGCTGCGGTGCTAGAGCGGCTTCGAACCCGTTGATGGATTTATTAACTGAAGCATCATGGCACCGGCACTCTCCTCGTGCTCAGCCCCAGTGACAGACCTCCACAAGCCACCCCAGCCAAAGGGAGGGGTGAGACGACAGACCAGAAAATGACACGGCGCCTCGGTCGATCAGCTCGCCCCGGGCGCTCCAGGAATTGGATAGCCTCGCCCTGCGCACAAAAAGGACCATTCATTCCCGATCGAGCGCCGCTGGGTTGGTCAGTAGAGTGGGCGCGAACAAGCAAGAATGCATCTGTGGCAGTAGAAATCTCGCAGGATGCTGGGGCCACAACAAAGGCTTCATCAGCTGAAATCAGATCGCCTGCAGAAGTGCATCTTCATGCAGACATTTAAGATCTGCATAAGGAATCTCGTAAGACTCTCAAACAAAGGATAGCCTCTTTTGAACAGCTCGAGGCCGTCTTCTCGCCTCTCCTTCGCGGACTTGATTCGCTGATCCTTTGTCAACTCAATGTGATAGAGCAAGCTGCATCTGCAATGCTCTGGCACGCACACGAAGATTTAAGAGTCAAGAGCTTGTTACGCAAGCACTGGCTCTCCCACAGCTTGTCTGCACCAGGACTTCTCACACAAGAACCTTTAGCTCCGACCGTGGCCAGGGATATGGATTTCACTCTCAGCATCCGGCATTGGCACGCATGGGCGCATTGACGGCACAAAGGGAATCAATCGAAGCGAGCTCTGTGTCTGATGTTGTCCATTCGCTGAATTATTTGTCCCAGTCTTGCTTGGCAAAATAAATGTGGGGCTAGCCTTTCATGCTTTTTGACGACCAAGAGTGGCATCGTGGACGTGAGACTCTGGACGAGCTTCAAGAATTTACCTAGCCATGCCTTGAGCGAACTCTTTGATTGTTTATGATTTTTTTGTCGATCCTCCTGTGCTACTACAGTCTAAGATGAGCGAGCACCCCTGAAACTGCACCGACGCGCCCTTCTCCGAAGCCACGCTTTCGTGTGCCGCATGCCACAAGCCAAGCGCTTGGGCCTTCTGGGGCTGGTTCAGATTGTCCAGGCAGATTCGAACCATGCTGTCCAGATCTCGAGCTCGCTCGTACCTGCCGGTGTTGCTGTCCACAAGTACGGATCGATTTGGCAGTTGCCTGCGCACGTCTATATAGACTTCCGCCGGTCCGTTTGCTTTTCACGAGGCCCGCTCGTGAACACTTTCGACTACGAGACAATACGGATAGGCTTGGGTGCATCTCATCAGCCATCCATGCTGCCGTGACTGTTCCATAGTCGATAGTTCCCAGCATCAAGCTACAAAGCTTCATGGCTTCACGTCAGCAAACCGTCACGTGGGATGATGTTTGCCACAGGTGGCACCATCGGCTTGGCCCTGTAGCGGTTTTCAGTAGGTAGCTACCAGAGCATTTGGTATCTAGCTGATTCTAGCTGCGTTGGGCTCACGCCACCAAAGCATCTTGATATGCACCACGAGACCTGGGCCATCTTCTCTTGCAGTGACAGGCGTTGACAATAATTGAAGCTCAGTGTGTAATGATGTGCAACGCCGCTCGGCAAGCAAGTATCACTATTGCGGCAATTCTGGCACTAAGTATCCCACTCCTTGGCCTTCGCGAACTGCAGGTGCAGCTTTGGCGTGGAAATCTTCCAGGGCTCACAGCGTACCGTGCCACAAAAACTGCGGATCCGCCCCTTGCATCTGCACACGCCGCAAGAAGAAGATCTCATTGCTGAAGCCTTGGCCATGAGCGGCGCAGCGGCGTCAAAGTTCAAGTCCAAGATATACCTCAGAGGATTCTCAAACTTGCGGACATCAACTTCTTGGTCGGACTATGCCCACCAGAGCCGGGGCGCAGTGATGCTGCTTGGTCGTAAGAGCCTGCAGCCTCGTATAGCTGGGCAGCCTGTGCAGGAGTCAGGCTCCGAATTAAAGACATGTGTGGTTCCGTGAGGCCGACAGCCTGCAGCACTGAAATGGCATGGCCTCGACATACTGCTTCATCTTGTGCAGCACAGCAGCACAGTCGCGGCAAACAGTTGGGTCCTGCCAGGCCGCCAGGGCTCTGGGCGGCTACTGCAGACGACGCAAAAGCATGCAGAGTTAGAGATATCATATACCTTTACTGCTTTATATGTATGTCCGTATGTACATAGGTATGCATGCATACATATGTACAGATGTAGTGTATATATATGTGTATATATATATACATATATACATATATATATATATATATTTTTTTGTCAAGGTATATAAGTATATAAGTATATAGGTATATAGGTATATAGGTATACATGTATATATGTATGTATGTGTATATGTATATACATATACCTATTTATGTATGTACTGATGTTCCTGCTCACGTACCATTCACGGGCTCTTTTTGTGCTTGTTCATTCTTTTCTTACACGCACGCACATGACCTAATCTGTACAGAGTGAATAGTATATGTCAGCGTACGCAATGTCGTGATTGTGGACTATATAGTACCAGTCATTGAGGTCGAGGGCCATCTGCATGCCCCGCGGCAGGTCACCCATCTTCACCGAGGTGCGCGCAATACCGGCCTGTCAGTGTTCAATTTGTCGAAATGTATGGCATATTTTCTTATACTATATAATGTATTCTGCAGCACATTGTTGTTATTATGTCTAAACCGTATCTTGATGAAGAGCTGAACATATCCACAGTAGACTGTAGATGAGCGCCGGCAACCAGAACAGTGGCAGTGTCGCCATCGTGCCAGGATTCTGGCGTTCCACTGAATCTGCCTACCGTTCTTGCCTTTCCTGAAGCGAGAAAACCCCTTTCTGAGCTCTCCAACATGGCTTGGCGTCTAACACTCCACGAAAACGCGGCGGGGGAGCCTTGCACTGTGATTCGTGCTCCGGCCGGGTGCCCGGTATGTGGTCCCGCCTTGCATTGAGATTATCCACGTAGCTGCCAATCCAAACATATCGGATGCTGGATCAATTTGCATTAAGGCCTTTGGAGAGCCGTCTGGTGCGAGTACCCACTAACATCGTGATCCGGCCAAGGGGCATCGCCATTTCATAATGGCTCAATGCCTGCAAACAGCACTGATGTGCTTCTCAATGGTCTCTGCGAGAAAAAAAGAGTTGTGCACGTGTTAAACATATGCCTGTCCCGCCCTAACCTACCAGAAAGCACGGGTCTGCACGCGGCCTGCTCGTTCTGGTTGCGGCCTTCCAGTTGCGACGCGCTCCTCGTCTCGAGGTGCTTTGGACAGATTGACAGAGAACGGGGCAACGTCAGGCAGTTGCTAGTCGTGGCGCCTTAGTTGAGGTTATACATGCTCAACGCACAATGCACGCGAAGTTCAGGCTTTAGGCACCAACTACCAACTCTGAGGGCCAGGCTTCAGGTAAATGTCGCTCAAGCGGTGCGGAGCGTACGTTTGCGCCAATTGCAATGCCTGCGGCAACAGTTCGGGCGGCCCATTCATATCCGTCACTGCCCGTCCTGAGCGTTCTTTTTATCACTGAGGCAGTCCGACTGTTTTACACTTTTTGGGGGAGTCAGCGGCCTGATCCCATTCAAGAAAGTCGCAGTGCATGTCCAACGCCTGGGCACGTGCAGCTGTGGCAGCTGTCGTTCCACGCTAGGAGCTCTCACCCACTGCTGGGAAATCGATCTGGCAGTTGTTCAAAATAGCCAAAAGGTGGGTTGTTGCCGGCTAGACTACGATCTGACTTTGTACAAGGGGGTGGTGCACAAGTACCCTCATCATAAACCACTGTGGCATGTTACACATTTTAATCATTTTACCATCTTTCTGGCCGATGGTTTGCCCTTGGCATCACAGTGCCTGCGAAGGTGGGAGCGAGGCAAAAGGTCTACGGGGCCTGCGTGAGCCTCCCATGCCCGGCATTATGTCGTCCTATGCTCCAAGCACGAAGCATGGTCAAACCTCCACCTTGTTGCGAGAAGCCACTCATCCAGAACAGCTGGGCCCAGGACAGTCTCTGGACTGCAACTCTGCAGGAAGTACCTCTGCACGTTGTCACTGCCGGCTCTCGCGTATGCAGCTGGCAGCTGGACGGAAGGGCGTGACAGGCAAACCAAATGCAGAGTACATGCTATTGAAGCGGGTCGGGTCGCCTGAAGTCGCTATCATGTGCTTCTTGGCCACCGGTCCGATAAAATATATGATCTTCGTGACTCAAGCAAGTCCATAACGGTGCATATATCGAGCCGGAAGGAAAGTTCTGAGTTCGGCGCTCTCTCGCCTTCGCGAAGTTCCCGAAGAGGGCAGACACATGACCGCTCAAGAGGAGCTTGTCCTCTGAGACAGTTTATTCTACAATACAAACTATGCAACTGTGCATGCTCCTCTGATTCGGTTGGTTTCACCATAGCCACTTTTTGAGACAGCAGGGTTTGAGTTGGAAGTGTGTCTTCTGTAGTAAGCGCGCCCGAACTGCGGCAGTATTTCAACACTTTCGCCTGCCATGCCGATCTAGGAAGGGGAGGAGACGAGTCTTGCGGTAAGAAGGCTTCCATTCCAGCTTGGCTTAGGAAAAACTATCCGATGTGGGAGGATCTCCAGGGCAGAAACCGAGAACCTGCAGAAGTTTGGAGCGCTACGGCAGAGAAGGCTGTGCGTCCTCGACAGTCTGGATTTTATCCAAGTACATCACCTTGCGAGGATACTTAACCAGGCCCAAACTGCAAGAGCAAGGACACTCGGAGCAAGGCCATGCCAGGAGCAGGCGCTTGTCTGTATGCCTGCGCTGACAGAGTTCGAAGATGCTGAGAGGAGTGGCAGGCTCACAGGAATTGTAGCATCTCCGCAGATCTCGACCGGCCTTCTTTGCCCAGGCGATGTCCAGGCACTCCAGGCTCCTGCCAGTTTTGGCATGGCGAACATATGAGGTCTGTGAACCTGAGAAAGACTTTCCTCGACTCTTAGGCTGCCCTGCCCTCTTCCGCCTAGTTTCGGAAGTTGGCTCGGGAGTATTCACTACAAGCCATAAACCCTGAAATTCTACGGCAAGTAATCCCAGCCAACCAATGACGAATTACGCATTGTGCAGAGGCATGCTGCAAAGAACTGCTTGTGCTTGCGTCGTTGTGCCGACGCGTTCTTGGAGGAATGCGCCACGATGGCAAATAATCCGTGTGAAGCTGCTCTGGGCTTCCATCAGCACTGCGAATTCATGGCCCTGCACGGCTCCCTGCCCTGAAGGGGGTCCAAGGTTTTGCGACAGTAGGCTTCACTATTGTCTATCGAGCAAACATGCCTCCTGGACTGCATACTTTCTGATTAACGCAAGTCCAAAACTACAAAAATGAGCTGCTTGCGTATGGATAATTATACCTGTTACAGTTGAAGACTGACGCTCAGCAAGAGCTCCGTGCCTTCTGCCCAAAGCCAGCCACAGGTCTCGCCTGAACCATCAACCGGTCTCTTGTAGAGATACTTTCGCCAAACTGACACTACAAAACTCCTAAACCCTAAACCCCCACAAGGATATCTCGCCGAGGGACGAGTTCAAGGCCAGTCCGATCTTGAAAGCCAAGGCGAAGCGATTCAACGCCAAGGCCTGCGGTTCGAACCACGGAACCGACTACCACTTTGTCACGGTGACTGCATCTCCCTGACACTTGCAACAGCCTTCTCTTTTTCAAGTAAACCAGGTGAGCACTGGCCTGAAGGAAGCAGCCTTTCTGTCGCTCGAAAGTATCCATGACATGAGCTTGGCTGCTCATATCATGCCTGCCACGGACAGGATGCTCGTAGCAGGGGGCCTAGAATCATAGGTCGCATGACATTCCGCAAGCTGCAGCCCGCATGATGTGTCATGACCTCACAGTTTTTGCCAGTGGCATCGTGCTCTAAAGAACCAAAATGGAGAACACATCGCCGAGCACTCGGAGATTCTTCAGCATAGTGGGTGCCTGCGTTGATTCAATTACCTCCAAATGCATTTGTGAACAGCATGTCTTGAGAGGTATGTCCAAAAGCAAGCACATAGCACGGACGACTAGCCGGGCAGGCGAGTGCAGCCGCAGGTGGGAGAGAGTACCGCTGCTCTGCTGGCAGACTACAGTACCGTCCTCGGTCGGACACACTTAACAGACTGAGCCGCATGTCCAGGAGCAAGAACAGCATCACTTGGCATTGCCGATGTGTGTGCCAGCCAACAAAAACTACAATCGAGCGCTGCTGCAGTTGGTCTTCCGCAGGGAGAGACCTTGCCCCTTCAGCAAAAGACCATAAAATCGTCCAAGCGACGGAAACGAGGACGCCGACTTGGCCGTGCTGAAGCGGAGTCGGCGCGGCCTCTTCAATGCTTGATCTTTTCTGCAACTCCTCCACTATTTCCCCGGACCAGAAGTTCCAGCAAAGAAGCAGCTCAAGCGTCATGCGGCCATCTAGCATGCAGCAATGCCTCGATATGAAGCTGGGCATCTGCACTCAGATCCAGCTGGCCCAGGCATCGCACCCCGCTTTTGCCGACCTCTCGCATGAGCTTCGGTTGTCTGGGCGTTTGCACGCGTTTGACCGGCTGTCATGAAAGCTGTCGTGCGATTTGGTTGCTGCTTGGGTCAGGATGCTACTCCCAGTGCATTCGGGGCACGGGGTACTGTTGATGGTGCGTCCTATCCCACCTCTCCACTCTCGCTCGCACAGTTGGCAGGCAGATGCAACTTTTGCGTCTGGCACTGGTCAATGTCTTCTGCAACAAAAACTCCAATAAAGCTGAGCTTGTCAGCTTGTCGTAGATGTCGTGCAATAGCAGCTCGCCAGGTACGGTCGCTGTGTAACACTCAGCATTGGGGCATTGTGAATAACCCGATTGCAACATGCAAGTATACTGCCTACCTACATGTGCAATCGCTGAAAAAAAACTTGCAGCCTCGGCGATGAGCCTCAGGCCTCATCAAGCTTGTTTCAACGCGGTTCCTGGGAAGTGTCTCGGCTGGCTGGATCTTCGCAGCCCTTGCACCTTGTTCTTTCGATGGGTCATTTGTGCTGGATGCCCTGTGTGGGCCGCATCCAGGATGTCCATTTGGCGGCGAGAACCATCCATGCGCTGCCAAAGCCTCAAGCAGCCGACCCCAGAGTTTAGCCGAAGCATGGCCAGAGCGGATGTGAGGGGACAAAGCGTCCTGCGTTGAGCGTCCTTTTCCTCGATGTGTGAGACGCCTGGTGAGATCTCTTTGAGTTCCCAGGAGAGGTCAACGCGGGCTTGAATCACAAGTGACCGCAAAGCCGCTAGGGCCTAAGCTTTTGACCTCTAAAGTACAAGCCTACAGAAGAGCTGCTTTGGCTCAGCATGGAGAGGTTGGCGAATCCGGCTGCGAGAAATCCTCCAGCAGCGAGAGCAAGTCCCGTGTCCTGAGGGCAGCTTGCTATAGCTGTCTACTCTTATCTTTCCTGTGCTAGGACGCTGCTTCAGGCGGGCGTGAGCGCGTAGCTCTCTAAACCTCTAGACATCCTCTAGACTCTAGGCAAACCGGATGCAATGCAAAGGTCCGAATTCTAGACCAGAACCCATCGTCTCCTGCCCAAGTCCACATTGGATGTTTCGGCCAAGCCTTGGCTTTGTGCTGTGAAGGCAGCAAGTTAAGTCTCAACACTTGCTACAAGTACAGGGCCTTGCAGAAGTGGCTTGGCACGAGAGGCTTGCCCAAGCTCAGAGAGATCTTTTCCCGACTCCTTCCCTTGAGACTTGCAATTCGCTGAGTCTCTGGTCGGCTTGGCCAGCCATTCCTCGTGGCCTCGGTGCGCGACGCACAGAGAAGCTGAGGACGAACACTGTTCGCTCCAAGCCCCATGCGCTCGACAGCCTGAGCTTGCAGGAGCTGCAGCTCCGAATCCTCGGACTCGGACTGCCGCTTAGCGGAGCTTAGCAGACTCTGCAATGCATTGTGAGCAGCATTTCAGGCCGCAGCCTCTCGCAAAGCTTCCGACGCGAACTTGAGAATGTCACCTGAAACGAGAGCAGGAAGACTAACTTCTGCAGCCAACTGCCCTCTCTCTCCGACAAGGTCCAACCAGTGCCCGCTGGCCCTCCCAAACGACATGTTCGAGTGCTTGTCTCAACCCGACCGTCTGTACGGGGCTGGATCTGAGCAAGGTGGCCACCCGGTGGCATGTGCTCCAGAGCGATGCTGACCTCATGCGAAGTGTCGCACGGGCGGACGGCTACCAAACAGGCAGTCAGGTTCAACACGCCTACCATGCTTCTGGAGCGACAGTGAACTTCAATTCATTCAAGTGCATGCTGCAAGACCACTCAGCTGAGTCGTGTCTGCCAGTGTTTAGACAAGCTACAACTTCCCGATCCTTGGATCCACTCAAGAAGCAGGAGAGTCAGAATCTGCGCGAGCTGACATGCCAGGCAAAAGAGACAATTCCACGACAATGCATGTGTTTTTGTCTAGTCGGTTCGGACAAGATCAAATCAGCAGTATGGGGTCCGAGGCACGCCCCGCAGTTCCTCTGAAGCAAATTCCAGAGCGTCCCCGTCCTTACATCAGCGAGGGTCAGAAACGACCGCCAGAGTATCTATCGTTGTGTCTTTGAAGGTCGGAACTCGATCCCATCTGCAGGCAAGCATCCCCTTCAACGGCGACCATGACAAGTCGACGATCCTTACATCAGTACATTGAGACAGGGTTCTCAAGGATCCAGGATACTTCCGCATACTGACAAGAAGCACTGTCCGAGCTTCAGACTTGACCTTTAACTTTGCCGCGGGGTGCGAAGGGCAGAACTCCAATCAAATTGTCACCGCACAAGATGAAGACAAAGGACAAACGATTTCCAATTGACGAGTCGCAGCCCTCAGCTTGTGTGAGGCCTGCTTCAGCAACAGCGGCATCTTCTTGACCTGGGAGCGGGAGAGGCAAACCCGATTTGCAATGCAAGAACCTCGCTTCGAGGCGGCAGGCTAAAACGAGCATCACGTCCCGGTCGCCAGCGAACTCTGCACGAGGAAACCAATCAGAGAAGTCCTGCATATTCTCGTGCGCCGCCAGGCTCTGCCAAAATCTAGCACTCATCATCGACTCATTCTCTGTGCCAAAACACTTCGACGCCAAGAACAAAAGGTCACGCTTGTCACTTTCGACAGGCCTCACGATTACGAGACTCAATCTGCGCAAGCATCCTGATCAAAGCGAGCTCCTTCCCCAGCGCATCGGAGTGACGAGTGCAGCGCTTACTCTGAACTGCAGCCAGGACCAAGTCCTGGAGAGCTGTGGATGCTAAGCCCTGTGTAGAGATGATTCGGTGCGCAGGGATAGTGCGGGAGGAGGCTGTGTCGTGGCAAGATAGTCATAATATCTCATACATCTCATGGCACGATATGAGCTCCGAGAATACTCCGATGGCGACCCAGGACCCAGGACTGACTCAACGCACTTGCGACTTGATCAAGCACGGGAGAACAAGCCTTGTTATCTCGCAAATGAGGAGCTGCATAACCTTGTTCGTGCATCAGCGCTGCATGCAATTCAACCTAAACTGTCTTACCATTCTCTATGGCACAAGCAATGCACGAGCAGATCTTTTCTTCAAGCGGAGTCACGAAACTCTGATGTCACAATGATACACTAATGTGTACATTGGAAAGAATCGATGCCAAATGTCTGCATGAAAGATGCAAAACGATTCTGATCATCGAACGCGAGTCCCCTAAAGGGAGAGACCCGCAAACCACGGGTCACAAGAGCGTCTGGGTGACACTTCCATGTAAACCCAGTGGGCTCGAAGCAGCAAAGCGACCGCGAGCACAGCCACACACCCGTCGTAGAAGAAAAGGGGTGGGCAGGG